TTGTGGCATTGACTGTAACCAGCCTGTTTGCCCCACCACTGGGATGTTTGAGCTAGAGTGGCGAAGAGAATGGCTGCTAATCTTTGGTCATGTAGAGTTTTGGAGGTGCCTCTATATACCATTGTTTACCCCCCCCCTCTAAGCCCTGGAGAGAATTAAAAATCCTACCAGGATTCATTATTGGTGACCAGAATATGCAGATGACATGTTGAAAGGAAACTGCAGTAAAGTCAAGAAAATACTAAATTTTGGAAGACGGAATGTTTGGTCATCGGCAAAAGGACAACCCAAGATACAAACTAAGAATTGGAGACACCAAGATCAAGCAAGTACAAAAATTTAAATATTTAGAAGTGTTTCAACAAAAGATGGAAAACACAACACTGAAATCTGAAGGTGCATTGAAATAGTGAAAGCTGCTTTGTAAAAAAAAAAAAAAAAAAAAAAAGCTTAGCAAAGTATATAATAAAAAAGTGAAATTAGAAATGAAGAGTACTGAATTATGTAATGTTGGCCCTCCAATATAATGGTCAATGCTGTATGATCTTGAAGACAGTTTTGAGAGAACAGAAATATGGTTCTGCAGATGGATGCTGGGAATACCATGAACTGAACATGAGTAACAAGTTTTAGAGAAAATGGAACCAAGAAAGACACCTTAGACTTCGAACCAGAAAGAAATAGTTGAAATCTCTAGGGTTTTTAGGAAAGATGGCCTCAGATGGTTTGACACTTGCAGGATATAGTGAAGGAGTGTGGAGGGGAGGAAGCAAATAACCTATTTAACAGACTTGTTTAAATGGTTGGCTGAACAGTCATTGGGAGACAAAAAAAAAATGCAAAACATAGTTACAAAGGATAGGAAGTTGTGGAAGAGCCATGACGGGACATCAGACAGAAGATTAAATTTGGTTTCTACTCATTGTAGAAATTAGGTGGAAAAAAAAAAATACAGCTATTTTGATGCAAGAATTATTTTTTTTTTTTTTTTTTTTCCCCCCCCATTTCACTCCAAACAAGGCAATAAAGCCACTACGACACAATGGGTGGGTAGTTACAGTATATTAGGGAGTATGAGAAAATTCACTATTTAAGAGAGAACAAAAGAACAAGAATTGAAACAAGATAATGACTGACATTGCATTTACATTTTTGAGTATCAAATTTGACTGGAAAGAGAAGAAACTGTTAGCATAGAAATCTTAGCCATTATCTATCCTATATATTCTCATAATCTGCATGTACTTCTTTCTCTTAGATTCAAACAATGTCACTTGGTAGCTTGTGCCTTTCATATAGGGTCAACATTTAGCAAAGAGGAAAATAAATAGTAAAAATTAAAAAGCAAAAAAACTTATCCTCTTTTATTAAAAAATGAAAAAAATTGGGCTGGAACTCTACCAATATTTAAAAAATACGTAAAAATTACTTTCATTGAGGAGGCTTGAGGGAGACAGTAGGTAAGAAGGATGTATTAAAATATTACTGACTTTATCCTTTGAAACCTGTTGGACGAATGATTTTGGAAAGATAAACATACTAGCAAATTAAAATGCCTGTTGTCAAATCTGATTGTTGGGGGGGGGATTCCATTTCAAAATTGTAATTTCTGTTTTTCCATCTGTAGGGAAAATAAGCCCTCCCACCATCTCTCTCTGTTTACACACTTTTTTTTTTTTTTTTTTTTTCTTGCTCATAGAATTCAATGGCACCTAAGATGACTAAATACCAGCATTAAACATGCACACTTGTACAAAAGGATGGATTCAATTTTCACCTATGAGATCCTTAGTTATACATCTCAGAAGTATATGCAGATAGTATAATTATTGGTGTGAAATCATCAAGTAGTTTTCATTGCGTTGACTTAGTTTCAGTCACTTCACACTAATAGTCTTGGAAAAGGCATGAATTTATATTACTCTATGGGTTAAAGAGCAGAATGGATTGCCTAAGAGGAAGAAAAACATTGAATTTAAAGCTACGGTGGGCAGTTTGGAAACTTCATGGCACAATAGAACATTTTCCTGTTATCAGTTTTTTGTTTCTCTCTTCTCAAGAAGTTGATCCTGAGCTTTGATTATACTTCTGTGGGTTTCCCAGTCACTGGGATTAGCAGCAGTCGGTTAGATCTCACTTCTTCTTTCCAAGCATCCCTGCCATGTGGGCAAGGCTGCACTCTCCCTCTTAATGCAATCTATCCATGTCTATCTTGACCTCTGTGACCAGAAACCCTGAACTCTGAGACGGTTCTAATGCAAGACAAAACTTGTTGGGTGTAACCAAGGCATTTTAGATGTGCTCGGTGCTGATGTTATATCAAGCCTTGTTGGCAACTTGGTGGTGGTGGGGGGGCTTTATACTGAGGCTTGGTGCTGCAAATCATCGAATGGTCTCCACACACTCTGCCACAGGATTGAGGATTAAACTACCACCCCCACCCCAAACAGGTGAGGAGGGGGGACGAAATGCTACGTGATTAAAATGATCTCCAAAAATCTGAAAGTGAGACACTCTTTATGCTGCCATCCTGGGTATGTTGATTAACTACACCCAGCAGCATTAAAGTTTTTGAGGAACATAGGACCACCTTCTTAATTGCTGTTGCTACCAGGTCCACCCTGACCTGAGGTGGCATCACCTGTAAAAGTCCCAGCTATGGACAAATAGTTAACCCCCGAACTGGGGTCAAAACACTACAAAACTATAAAAAATACTTGTATAGTAAAAATATGAACAATAAATTTTTTGAAAAAGAAAACAAAATATTACCAGCAATACATTTGACTCTTGACAAAAACCCTTTTTACAAAAATATGTTAATGAAACCTGATGTACAAACCGATTTCTTACAATGAATACAATATTCTATTCATACAAATCTATTCTAAAAATCTTGCCGGTATTAAATAACCTGTCAAGGTGCTATAAAACAAAATAAACCCAATTCCTCTTTGTGCTGTATGTATCTATGCCTCTGGGTGAAGGATGCAACACCTTTTGATCAGTCCCATCAAACATCTTATTTCTGGGTGTATATAGTTGGGATGGTGAAGGTTAATACAATGTTGTGCAAGACACACTTGACACCTCACTTGATATCCTTATATTTGGTATTTCTATTTTGCAATGCCTATGAGCAGGCAGCTGGCAACAGAAGCAGTCATAGTTATGGTGGTAGCTGGTATTATATTTCAAATGTATATCTTTAAACATTATAGTGAACACTCTTACTGGAAATAGATAGTTTAAAATAAAAACTAGGTATTATACCTCTTGACCAGACTTTGATGAAATCCTAATAGAGAAAAATAGCTTTGATTCCTAGAATAGAATTCCCTTTTGCAAGAGAAACCACTGTTTGATCCATCATGCAGTAAGCAAGGCTCTTTTCCCCCTTTTAAGGAAAGCACATCATCTTCACTCGGATCATTTGATTTGAAAGCCTATGTCTGCTGTTTCGTATTTGAAACATAAACAAAAAGCAATTTCTTATTTTTAGTGGATACTTGTATTTGAGTGGACACTCCATTTATTTACTTTCACCTACTGGCTTGAATGTTAGAGATATATTTTATTAAAGAAAAATTCTTGCCTTACAGCAAGAATCTACCCTGCATCTTTTAGGGCAGAGGAAGCCATTGTTTAGCCTGGCATGCCTTACCACTTGGCCACGAAGGAAGAGACTGCTAGGTGAAGCCCATCTGTTTCTAAGTGGTAGCTCCCTCTGCCCTGAGAGATGCTGGTTCAATTCCCACTGAGGAGTACAAATTACTTAAAAAGATTTCTGTAACATTCAGGACAGTAGATGAAAATAAATATATTTAATAAATAAATGGAGCATCTACTCAAACATGAGTATCCACTAAAAACAATGTTTAAAGTGATATAAATCTGTTGAATTAATAAATCAATTCTAAAATATTATATATATGCATGCATGCATGCACACTAACTACCTTACAAACTTTTTATTTTGTTTGTGAGTGAAATGATTAAAAAATATACCCATATAATCTTTTTAAAGATGCCTTGGAAAATATTAGGTAACCTGACATTCTATATTAATGAGTTATTCTTTATTTGGACTCGAGAAATTGTAATCAGGTGTAACAAAAAAGTTAGTTTGTTGGCCAACTCCCAGAGCAGACATTTAATAACACAATGTTTAAAATCGGAACATCAAAAGCAGGACTGGACTTTGACATGCCAAACAAAGATGGTCAAACTTTACTCTGAAAGACCCAAAGTTGGGGATTTGTCTGAAAGTTTTTTTTTTTTTTTTTTTTTTTTTTCCTGTTAATTTTATGGCTTGTCCTGTAACCATTTTCTTCTCCTCTCCTCTTCTCTATTTTATTTGTTTATAACTTTTAATCCATCTGTGATTATCAGAAAGAAAAAAAAAAATTTGATTTCTTTCCTATGGTAATCAGAAGGCCATTGTAATGTCTTAACCTTTATCACTCTGTATCTGACTTAATTTGCTCTACAAAAAGTTAATCCTGCTACTGAAGGTGGCTCTAATAGTGTGTTTGAATTTCATAGTTGCATTGTCATATGCTGTTATGGCAACAAGACAACTTTGAGTGAAATTAACATTAAGGCTACTACTGCAATAGACCTTGAAAAAGAATGCAGTGGAAAAGGAAGTAATATTAATAATGCAGCCTGCTGAAGAGTTAATTTTTTTATGGTTTGTTTGTATATGACTTTGAAAAACTTTCTTCTTCCCACAATACACTTTATTATTACAAAAAAAATAAAGTTTCAATTTTATTTACTAAGATTAGCTTAGTTTGGCACAGGGCTGCTATGCTGGACCACCCGGTGAGGATTTATTTTGCTATGCAAGGGACCAAGTTTTCTAAGTGTATCCATATATCATTCATGTTTTTCTATCAAGTTGGATGCAACTGTAAATTTTTGCATTTCTGAAAGAATTTTTTTTTTTTTTTTTTTTTTTCTTAAATAAAAATTCAAGTTCTTTTCTCTCTTTGCAGCTTTTCCGGCATGGAGACCGATCACCAATGATGTCATTTCCGACAGATGAGCACCAGGAAGACAGTTGGCCGCAAGGTTTTGGATGGCTTACTAATGTAAGTAAAAACTGATAACTGAGCAATTTGTTGCCATTTCTTTTTTTCTGAAAATGCTATTCATTCATTAACTTGAAAAATATACATAAATTAATGCTCTGGAAAGCTGTTTTTATTTATTTATATATATATATATATATATATATATATATATATATGTGTACACAACATATTTTCATTGACTTGTTTCATTCAATAATATAGACTTGTCTACTTATTTTTTATACTGATTCTTTCCAGTTAACTAATCATTTTCCTGATGTTAAGATGAATTTCATGAAGTCAGTCATTGTAGTGTGTTTTATATATTTATATTTTTTTTTTTTTTTTTTTTTTTTTGTTACCCAAGTATTTTCAATCTTTTGTAAGATCATCTTCAGAAGTAAATTATTATTGTAACTGCAATTTTTAAAAGTTCTAGGCTATTATCAAATCTGTAACCTGATATCTAAGACAGTTTTGTCCTTTTTTTTTTTTTTTTTTTTTCCTTCTCTTTCATATCTGAATTCTATTGTGTATTCAGTTTTGTTTAATTTATCAACAAGATTCAGAAAGTTAGCATCACAGGGATATATTAATAGAGCATCATCAATATATTGGAAGTAATGAGATTGTTTAAGCAAAATGTTTTGGAAAGAAGTAGAAATTCCTAGAAAATACATCATCACTCTGAGAGAGGATCAAATCGGTAATCCAAGTTTTTGTTTGTAAAAATTATTGAAAGTGTTTTTGTTTGTATATGTATGTATCATTGAGTCATGAGTTTATTTTTTCTTCTATGTATGTAATCCTGTTTGAGATTACTCCATCTGACAAAGGAGGTGGCATTGTAATGTGGCTTTTCTTGTTTCTCATTAGATTCTTGAGTGCATGGTAATGTGTTCATTGTTTTGTTTTGTTTTTTTTTTGTTTTGTTTTGTTTTTTTTAATAGTAGTAGTGATTATTGCTTGAATGAAACCCTTGGTTAACTTGGAATCATTATGCTTGTAATTTTTTATTATAGTGTCTACTATGGATCCTTTGCGGATTATGGTTGCAAATTTTAAACTGGAACGGAGGGCTACTTGTTCTGCATTGGGAAGCGTTATATCTGATAAATTTTCTATTAGATTAGGATTTCTGATATATTTCCACTTGCTGTTAGTGAGTCTTTGTCTCAGGTTTTTGTTTTTATTGTCACTCATTCGATATTTTGGTGTAGTTGAGTCCTTTCAGGCTTTGTTATAATGTACATTTTGTGGTGTTGCATTCTTTCTAAAACATTTTACCTAAATAATTACATTACTTTCAATATATTGGTGATGCTCTATTAATATATCCCTGTGATAACTTTCTGGATTTTTGTTGATAAATTAAACAAAACCGAACACACACAATAGAAAAAAAAAAAATAAATACATTCTTAGACCTCATGTTAGACTGACTTGACAATATCCTAGAAATTTGTGTGTATATATATATATATATATATATATATATATATATATATATATATATATATACTGTTACATTGGAACCTACAAGTTACCAAAATTGTCTATATTAGACATTGAAACAAATACTCATATTTAGTGGTAACTTGTATGTTCCAATGTAACAGTTTATAATAACTATTGCTCTACTCTTGTATTGAGCCCTTTTTTTAAATTAATGTTATGAATGTTTGAATTTATATTCTTTTCGTTTCTTTACATATGGATTAAGTTAAACAATTATTTAATGTATATCCTGTGTATGTTAACAGATACAATTTATTTAAGTAAATGCTCTGTTTTTATTAAACAATATCAATTACATTTACTAGCCTGGATGTCCTGATAAATTTTATGTATTAAAATAACACATAAACAGAATTATATATAATTTTCTATTTGTTATTTTAATAGATACAACTTAAGTAAATGCTCAGTTTTTTTTTTTTTTTTTTTTTTTTTTTTTTAATAGAATTAATAACATTTACCAGCCTTAATGTTTACAAAATTTCAGGCAGATTAAATATAATTATTATTTATTTAACCCCCCCCCCCCAAAAAAAAAAAAAACAGCATTTACTTAAATAAATTGTATCTGTTGAAAGTAATGTCTTAACAGAAAATATATTAAGTAATTGTCTGACTTAATCCATTTCATTATATTATATTATGTTAGCATATTTGACCTTTTTGCTAAAATGTTTCTTTGTTTTTTAGTTGAAAAATTTTTTTATTTTCAGATAGGGAAATTGCAGCATTATCATTTGGGGAAATTTTTAAGACAGCATTACAGTGGGTTTCTTAATACAACTTATGATCACAGACAGGTTTGTATATAATATTTCTTTATATGAAGGTAAAATTCCCTTTCATCTGTTCACCAGACTTGCTTATTTGACATTCCATTTTAAAAATGGTTACTGTTGTTCATAAAACGTGTTAGACATGATAGGAATGATCTGGTGGGGGTTTAATTCCAGCTGTCAGAACTCCTACCCAACTCCTGTATATTATATACTTGTCAGCTGAACATATTATAGCATGTTAAATATTTAGCCTATACTATTAAAGTCAATTCTGATTGGTCAATCAACAACCAAACTGGGTTATCCAGTAGAATTTACTTTCATGAAATTAAATTGACAAGATTTTGACGAGGGAAATTTATTCTTTGTAGTAGTTAACATTTGTGTGAATTGAAACATGTTTGTGTAGCTGTGGTTAATGCTTTTGCTATTGTGAATGTATTTTATTTTTTTTTCCAAAATTAACATTGTCTTGAAAACATGCATTAACAGCAGGCAATATTGGTCCTTACTGTTTGGAAATATCACTAAATATTCGTTTAATACAAACTAGTGTATACAATATGACCTGTTTTGCAATGTATTATTTGTTTTTGTTGGTGGCAGGTGCTTAGTTTATTCTGTACTGCAGACTATGCAGTTGGAACGAAAATAACAGTGCCCCTTAGAAATCTTTTGATAGTTACTTATTTCAGGTAAATAGTAATTAATTTCCTATTTTATCTAAAATAGGCCAGCACAGCCATGTAACAAAGCTATAACAATACAGCAGTGAAAGGTTTAATGATTCTCCAACTGAAAATAGTTGTAATCTGTATTGAGTCTAATATGTCAAATTTGCTCCCTTTGTTGTCCTTTCAGGATGTGGACAGTCATCTCTTACTGCTCTCAACCCCCCCCCCCAACACATACACACCTGATCTTGTCATTTCTGTCTAAACCAATTTGTCAAGTAAATCATTTACTTTTCTTTTGCTTCTCTTGCTTTATGTCCTGTGAGTTTTAAATTCTATAACCCTTCTTTCTTCTACTCTAGTTTATTCTTATTTGTCATGTTCTGCCTGTGGCATTTAGAAGATTGAACTGAGGCTAACTAGTGAAGGATCAACCTTCAAGTGGTAAGAGTATATGAGGTTAGCTTGTTAACTATTACTATGAAGATATGCACTGATGATAATGAATCTGCTTAGTTGATTCACACTGACTGACGATGGAACATTTTATCGAAGAACAATTGTGACTGTAAGTAATACTTAGTGAGATGAGTTTGTTAATGTTAGTCCTGGGTATCACTATAAACTAATCTGGTAGCATGGCCTTTGATCAGGAGATTGCCATAGGTTCAGCCTGACCTAAGGTGGTAACACCTGTTAGTCCCAGTGAGGGGCAGATAGTAAAAAAACAAAAAAACTGATAGTATAAAAATGAATTTTTATACTAAAAATACCAGCAATACATTTTTATATAAAACATTACCAAATTACTTCAAAGTTTTTGAGAAAATTAAATTTTGGCATTAAATGACCGTTGATTTGCCGTTTAACAAAAGATTGATTTGCTTGTTTATTTTTGTTCTATGCTAAGGTGACCTTCTCTTGTAAAGTTCATAGAGCATCTCATGAGGATTAAACTCACTACATTAGGAATTAGGCTATGAGATTAGCTTGTCAAAAATTACTCTGACTTGAGATTGTTGAAGACTTATCAAATATGTAAGCTGTTTTCATGCATTGAACATAAGTACAACTACTGTAAATTGCAATGTTCAAGTCTGGTTTACAAGCCTGAAAATGATCTTTTTGGGGTCACTGGTAGCCTATCTTAAGTCACTATATAGCCAAAAATCTTGGTGTTGATTTACATACCACAATTTACAGTATATATTTTATATTTACTTCCAAGGTGTGTGTTCTGACACTTGCTTCAGGAACTGTTACAGCTTTTATTCCTATCAATTGGGATCTTTGAAAATTTAAATACAATTTTTCATGGTCTCATGTCACTTGGGGTGAAATAATTTAAGAGAAAAATACTTTTTTTGTTCTCATCTTTATCATCACAGCATTTTGACTGCTCTGCTCTTTGGCCTTCATCAGGTATATCTTGTAAATAAAATTGTTCATGACAATTTTTTGGTTCGCAGTCACATCGGAACAAGAATGCATCTTTGGAGTTAGTAATTTGTTTTTTTCCGTATATGTATAAAAGCAAAAAACCTCCAGCAAACTTTTTGGACTGAACCCTGTATTTAATGTATGGGGTTTGTAGGGGTGAGATTGTTCTCTTCCTATTGTCTTCTGCCATGTTTAGGGATATCTAGTCTTGTTTATTGAAGCTCAATTATTGCTTACCCTGTTTTCACATAGTCTAAATCTGCACTACCTAGACCAGGGATTGAACTCATAATTATGTCACCAAAGCCATTTTGTTCTTATCAGTTTTTAATCAATAAATTTATATTGAACATTTTAATTGAACAATAAAATATTTTCCTAAAATAGAAAACAGATGTCTTGCTTATAAAAGCTATTAAGATTTATAGATTGTAAACGTACTTAATTGAACATTGCTTTGTTGTCTTCATAGATTACATCAGCTGTGCATTATTTTCATAGTAACAGGCTACAGTTGGTCTGGGTCAAAATGGTTTTGTTTATATTGAGAATTACTACATAGATTAATGACCAATAGAATCTTGCCAAGAACAAAATTGGGTTATTGGCTTTGATTAGAGATAAGAAAAAAAACACATATAATCTCCATTGAGTATAATGGATTTTATGAATCTGTTTTGGACTACTTATTTTGATCTTGAATTGTATTTATGTAGATACTTATTGGGCTATGAAATTAGACATGACATGCTGAAAAGTTCTTAGCTCAGCTCTCTAAATCCACCCCCTCCCCCACACACCACTCTTGTGTGTGTGTGTTTTATATGGCCTGCTTTATGCTCTCTGAAAAGTTCAACTTGATGGGTTTGATAATTTAGTACCTTATTTTTTTAAAGTAGAAAAAGACAAAAAATATTTTTATTTTAGCAATAATATAAATACAAATTCTCAGTATGCTCGGTTATTGCCTGTGTTTATTATCAGTGTTTTCTGTTGGCATGATTTTTTTTTTCCAAAATATCCTTCCCACTCTGTGAAACAGTCAGTCATAATTTATTGAAAATAAGGAAAAGAATTGATTGGTTGAATGGGATATTTAATTAGTATGTGTATTCATGCAAATGGGTTATTCAAGTATCTAGTAGAAAGGTTCCATAGAACAATATTATGACACCATCTGTTAACACCAAACACATATATCATATGGTAATACTCTGTTATTAAGTGGAAGTTGCCTTTTTATTTATTTGTGTAACAAAAGGCAGTCGGTAAAACTTGATACCTACATCAGTAGCATAGTTCAATTTGCACTGCCTGTTAGTGACTGGGGTACCAATTTTGTACACAAACACATTCTAAGTGTGAAACATTAAAGTGTGAGAACAACAGAAATTAAATAGAACATATATTTAAATGAATAGGATTATTTATGCTTGATTGATCGATTTTAAGGGTAAAACATTGAAACTGGAAGTTTTATATATTTACTCGCAGTAGAGCCCGGCATTGCCCAGGGATGTAACAGTAAGAGATAGATCAAGTATTGACAAAGATTATTTTTTAAGGTGGAGGGACATGCATGTCTTAATTAGTTTTTTTTTTAGAATTGCTCAAACAGTTTTCTGTCTTTTGAATGGAATTTTTAAAGCATTCTGAACGTAAAAACAAAAAAGTGTGCAAGACAATAAGAAACACTACCTGCCAAAAAAAAAAAGTGAAGTTTTGTTGAAAAATGTAGGGAATCTGATCCCATATGTAAACGAAGACACAACCTGGGTTTTATAATAAGTATAACTCGATATAAGTTGTCCCCCTTCCAATCGTGTTTTGTTTTTCCAGCCTTTCTGTGTCGTTTTTTGCCGTTTTTTTTCTGCGTTTTTGCCTGCGCCAACCTTTTTGCTTTCTGTGTCGTTTTTTGCGGCTCAGCCTTTCTGTGTCGTTTTTGCGGCTGCGCAGCCTTCTGTGTCGTTTTTGCGGCTCGCGCGGCGCAGCCTTTGTCGTTTTTTGCGGCTGCAGCCTTTCTTTTGTCGTTTTTACCCGGCTTCTGCTGTACTTTCTGTCGTTTTTGCAGCTCGCGCGCAGCCACCTGTATCGTTTTGCGGCTGTCGTTTTTTGCGGCTGCAGCGCAGCCTTTTCCTGTGTCGTTTTGCGGCTGCGCGCAGCGCACCTGTTTTTTTTGCGGCTCGTTTTTTGTCGTTTTTTTGCTGCTCTTGCAGCGCTTTCTGTTCGTTTTTGCGGCTACGCGCGCAGCCCCTGTGTCGTTTTTGCGCGCTCAGCCTTCTGTCGTTTTGCGGCTCGTTTGCGTTTTTTGCTGCTACGCGCGCAGCGTTTTCTGTGTGTCGTTTTTTGCCGGCTCCGCGCAGCCTTGTCGTTTTTGCGGCTCGCGCAGTTTTTTGCCACAAGCCTTTCTGTGTCGTTTTTGCGGCTACGCGCGCAGCGCAGCCTTTTGTCGTTTTGCGTTTTTTTGCGCGCAGCGTTTTTGCCCGGCTTTTTTTGCCTTTGTGTGTCGTTTTTGCCGGCAATGACTTTGAACATTTAAGGCATTAATTTGTTTTTCATTACTGTATACAAAATCATTATTTTCAGTGGGACTTTAACATGCATCTTATATATATATATATATATATATACACACACACACACACACACACACACACACACACAGTCTTATTTGAAATCGTCTTTTATTGTTTTTTCTGTTGCATGTCAAAGCTTTTAGTCCAACCATGCAGACTAATTTGCTAACACTTTATTCAATCAATAAACCAGTCAATAAGACAGGTCTAAACCTCTCTTAACAGCTTTAAAATAAATATGTATTGCTTGAATAATATCTGCTATTTTTATCTTTTTCCAGATTAAAGTAGAAAGTTCCTGTATACCACGATGCCTGATGAGTGCCTATTCAAATCTGGCTGGCCTTTACCCTCCAGTTGGGCAGCAAGTGTGGGAAACAAACCTCCTCTGGCAACCAATTCCAGTGGAAACAAAACCTGGCAATGAAGACAATGTAAGTAGAATTAATACCAATAGCATAAAAATCATTTCCTGATTGAATGCAAATCAATTAAGTTGGCATAATAATGGATTTTGGAATTATAATATATATATATATATAGTTTGGCAGATAGGTTTCTTTACTCCTGACAATTCCTTTTTTAAGTACCCATGGAATTTTGCAACCTTTAACCTAAAAATACTTTGAAGTTTAATAAAAGCAATGATTATTTTCTTAAAAAAAAAACAACTATGCTTTGTGCATTCTATGCACACTGAAAATTCAATATTTTGCTCATGTTTTCTCATTATATACATACCCATTAATAATTTCACTCCGGTTTAAGGCAATATAGCCACAAGGAGTTACTGAGTGTGAGAGAATATGAGAAGGCAAAAAAAAGATTAATATATATTAGAGAGAGAACAATAAAAGAACAGGAATTAAGAAGACAGCATTTGTTTTATTAAAAACTTGACTGGAAAGCAAAAATCTGGAAGAGTGTTCCACATATGAGAAGAAACTGTTAGTATAGAACTTAGTTATACTGTCTCATTTCATTTGTGAAAATGACGAGACCTTGCTGCCAATTTAGTACTGTGCTTAAATTCATAAAGTGTAAATACCAAAAAAGAAAGTTCATCAGAACAATTACCATGGAAGTATTTATAGAAAAGGCACAGGGAAGCTACGTTATCATGAGACCATTAACATTAAAGATTCTTCTTTGTATTTTATAAAGAATCTTTAAATAAACAGCAGAAGCACTACACCAGATGTTATAGCAATGTTCAATGCATGGACAAATGGTAGACTTATTTGTGAGAAAATTCCTAGCAATATTTTTATCCTCGTCTTGGTAAGGTGAATGATTGAAATGATGATTCTAATGTATGTTTCACCATTTTTAATTTTCTATTATTTTTGGTTTAATAATGAAAATATTTTCCTGTTCATAGATCTTATACATGGGAAAACCATGCCCAAGATATGATCAGCTTTTTGAAAAAGAGATGCGGTCTCATGAAGTAACAGATGAGGAAAAAAAGAACAAGGTAACTAATAAGTCTTTCTTACCTGCTGATTGGAAAGTGGGTCAACATTGTCCAGTTTTATTAAGTGATGTGGCTTATAACCAAAATAGTTTGAATTTTGGTTGAGGCTTTTTTTTTTTTTAATTGACCTTGCACTAATAACCTTGGGAAAGGTAAGAATACATCTCTTCCAGTTTTGAGTTTAAGGAGTAGACAGTTGCAGAGTAGGATATGAAGAGTGATGGGTTTTGTCAGGGTGACACTCCTAGTACTGCTGCAGTACATTGATGTCAAAGGAGTACACAAATATGTGAATTAAATGAAATATTGTCCAAAAAATAAAAATAATCATCCCAAACTGATTAGTTTCAGATTATGCAGATCTAAATTTATCTGAACTTGAAGCCTTATTGAATGCCTTCAGCCAGAATGAAAGGTGACCCTGGAGTTGAAGAGACCAACATTGGAGTTGTCAGGGTAGCATCTCCTTGGGAGTTGTTTCATAAAGTAACAGTTCTAGGAAATAAACTGTCTGAGCAGAATTTACTGAAGAGAATGGTGGGGTTTTGGCACAGTAGATCCCTAGTGGAACTATGGAATGTAACTTGTTAGAACATTTGCCATAGTGAGAAGCTAACAACATTTTGTTGGTGGAATAAGGGTTGCAGATTATTGGATGTGACATTGTATGTTAGCGGAATTGCAATAATGTAATATGCTAAATGGTTTTGCTAAATTGGTAAAAAAAAAAACATCTAGGTATTGTATCACACAATACAGTAACTTATTACTGTTATGAGGATGCCTTTCTATAATAAGGGATTCCACCGAGTCCTACCTGTTGATACAAAAAAGTTTTCATTCATGAAATAGATATAAAATAGAGAAATTTGAAATAGAACGTTTGGAAGATTCTAGATCATTCCAGTCTATTCGAGAAGAATCTAGAAATATGCAAATTAGGTGTTTGCCACTATAAAAATGGGATTTTGGAAAAGGGTAGTTAGTTGATGAAAAGAATTTCTGCTGTTATCAACTCCGGCTTTTGATTCAAGGACTATTATATCCAGCTGAAACAATCTCTATAAAAAGTTGCCGACCAACAAAAAACCAAAAGAGAATTTCATGGAACAAATTTGGTAAATAGAATTTTGACAAATTTCCATTGACCAAACAAAAAAATTAATATTTATTTACACACCTTTGTGGATTTCCAAATATAGCATTTAGATTACTTTGCTAGCTCTAAAGTGATTGACTCCCTTTCCTTCTTCGTCATAACACTTTGCCAGTAACTCTGTTTTCTGTTTTGTAGGCCACAATTGTTTATCTTGTATATATTTTATGTTGTGTTTTAGTAAATGAAATATTTGTTTGTGATTTAGCTCTGTGTTGTCGTAAATCATTGTTTTTTTTTTTTTTCCATTGTTAAAATTAACAACACGTAACACTACAAAACTAAAACATTGAATCGGACCATTTCAAGATCTAATATTTTTCATATGGATGATTCAATTATAACATGCATGTCCTGGCTGATCTTGTGTGGAACCTGAATCAGCAGTGACTTGATATGACCGTTGCTACACGGGTTGTAGGATGATGAATTGAATGTAGGATCAATCCCATGCTGGTTGATATAAGCCGTTGGATGCCCTGGTCCACAGAGCAGTAAATGTAGTGCTGGTTTGAACCACTGCGGTGATGTATTGTAAAAGAAAGAAAAAAAAAAAAATGTTCTTGCAGATAAATTAAGAATCTTGCGTTTTTATTTCATGTAGTTCTTTGTATAACATTAATCCTTCCCACTAAAATCTCTATAGTGACACTTTGGCTATTGATGCTAATTTTTGGAACAGGGCTCACTCAGGGGTTATCTGGGTAGCAAGTCACATGGATTTCAGTAGCACCTTCATCTGCTTTTTTGTATCGATTTGAGCAAGAATTCACCCTACTGGTGGTGTTTGCAGGTAATTGTCCTGCCCTTATAATTCATTTATGCCTCACGCCATTACTTTGAAATAGGTGGCGGTAATTTCTCCTTCCTCTTCCCAAAGTTTGTCACATTGGCTGTCTCTTTGACAAATGTGATTTTTAAACTGAGTGGGTAAGCAGACATTTACCAGCTGTTCCACTATTACAAAACTTGTCTTCATATCTTTTCACTTAATTGTACTGAAAAACCTTAAAGGTTCGTTTTCTTCAAGCGAATGCTAAAATCCTATTTCTCAATTTGTTTGCTTTTTTTTTTTCAATTTTGAAAAAAAAAAAGCAATGTCTGCTCTTTGACAGGCAGGGGGCATAAATCAGTTTCTTGATTCTGTCTTTGTCTTCAAAATTACCAAATATTATAACTGAATTGACTCCATCTTGAATGAAGAAGGAATCCTGTTTTTGTAGCTTCCACTTTAAAGTGGACATAAATCAATTTCTGCTTCCATTTCCAAAATTCTCAACTAACCTTGAATGTACTTTCACTATTCTGACACTGACCTTGTGGGTTGAAGCCTTTCACATCGCTGCTGATAATCTTTCCCAAAACCAATAATTTTTGATAGGAAACTATTTTGTTCCTTCTTTTACTTTATATATTATTCTGTATTTTTTAGCCCTCTCCATTTATTCCAGTTTGGTAAAGGAAAAAGGTTAATTTAAAATGCAATGTCTTTGAATGTAGGAAGCCTGTAGATTTTACTAACCATCTTTCCTTGAAATGGTATTACAGAATTGCAAGGAACTGTACCAAAAAATAAAAAGCACATCATTTGAGGACTTTCAACAGTAGAATGGATAGCATGTATAACTTAGAGAAAATGTCATAATGAAGATGTTCCATATTACTTCAAATAAAAGGTTAGGAAGGAAACCTCCATCAATACTGGAAACAGCAATAACAGTAGGCTTGAGAAACCCATTTTCCTGAAAGATTTTATAATTATAAACTCTGCTCAATGAGTGTTGAATTTACCATTTGTTATTTATTGGCTCCTGTCAAGGTTGACTGGTTGTAGATAGGAAATCTTGTAATGAATCAGAGCAGAGAGAAAAAACTTTCCCAATTTGCAAAAAAGACAATCAAACAAACAAAACATTATTTGTTCACTGTATAACAAAAATCAAAAGAGAGGGGGGGAGCTTTTCATAACTCACAAAACTCCATTTCAATTTCTAGGCCTTTTATGATTTCATTGACAAGAAGACAGGCATCACAAGAGAGAACATCTCTTCAATTTGGTCAGTTGCTGATACGCTGATTTGTGAAGTAAGTGAATTTTATTTTTTCTGTATAAATAGAAAACACCCAATCGATTTCAAGTAGTATTTACAATTGACTGTAAAACCCTTGTTATTGTTTGTCTTCCAAATAATCAGTTTATTGAATTTGAATTCTTGGCAGCCAGCTGTTATAAGTGTAAAAATAATAGGGATTCCTATTCAAGGGATGTAACTGGCATGCATGACGTTGTTAGCTGCCCTTGAATTTATTTATTTATTTATTTATTTTTTTTTTTTTTTTCTGCAAATTGAATTTATAAAAGTTTGTAAAAATCGTATTATGGTATAACGGTTGTAAACAGTAATATTACCTGTAATTTGGGGGCATATGGGTGAAGAGTTGACTCGCAGGTTTAAATGGGAATTTATTATTGTTTTGTATTCATGTTTACATTTTCTCTCTCCTTTCAATCGACTAACAACCATTTTAAAAAAAAAAAAAAAATGCTCCCACCCTGTCTTGATTCTTCTTTCATAACTACAATCTGTCACCAGCACTGCTATTTTAACCTTTGACTTTCTCAGTTCATTGACCTTCTCTTGATTCCAATAATCTTTTTTTTTAATAACCTAAGTATTTTGTTACTTTTTTCTTGACTAGAGACATCATAATATGAGTGCCCCCAGTTGGTTGAATGAAACTGTCTTCAAGAAATTACGTGAACTTCAAAGTTTTTCTTTTTACATCAAATTTGGTACACCAGAGCTGGCTCGATTGAAAGGGGGTAAGAAGTTTGTAATTTCTGCAACAAATCAGTTCAGTGTGCGTGCGTGCATATATCAAACCAACTGGATATGCTTATCTCTCTGACCAGAGCTTGATTAGGACTCCTTTAAATGCACGGAAACCTGACAAACTCCATCTGCGACATGCTTGTAGAAAATAAAACTACTATAATAGCTCCCATCCACATGTTTAAAAAAGAAAAGGCTAAAAATAATGGAAACAATGTGCTGACGATGTTTGGAAAATAAATCATTACATCACTGTAGATAGATACATAAAAATTTTAATGGCTGAATATACAAAGAAAATTCAGATAGTTTGTACACATGTTATATCCAGAAAAGAAAATGCTTATAAAAGAGGGTTTTTTTATATATATATATATACACACACACACACACAGCAAGTATTCATTAAAATAACTTTGATTAAAAAAAGACCAACAATGTCTATCTGTTATATTTTGCTTGAAATTGTTTTTTTTTTTTTTTTTTTTTTTTTTTAACCAACTGTTCTTGTACAATCTCAGCAATTGTCACTACCACATTGGTTCATGAAAATTGTTTTTTTACATCCTGGTTTTCTGGAAGATCGAACCATACTGAAAGTATAATATTAGTTGAAAGAAATGCATGTTATTTTAAACAATATTACTCGATAGACAGTTTTCTATTGCTCAACAAATACAGCATTTGAAATGATTTCAAATTTGTTTTTATGCAGGTCCATTGCTAAAAAGGATGTTGGTGAATTTCCAGAACAAAATAAAGGGAACTGACAAAACAAAGTTTTTTATGTTTTCAGCTGTGAGTAATGTTTTTTTTGGTTTATTTATTTTTTTCGAAAAGATTCATGATTCCTGTAACTCACATTGATTGTAGGAACATATACAGTGATTATGCAAAGATAGTTCTTCCTTAATTAAATTGTTCTTTTTCTACACTGAGGCCAAACAAAACTGTCTACTATTTAGCCCATAGATTGGGGGTAGGTAACCATTTACATTTGTTTTATCTCACAGAATTTCGTTTATTGAATTACAATACCCTGGCATTTTATTAAACCTGAAAAATCCATTAACATTTTCTATTGCTGTTAAATTTGTAAAACTGCTCTATAAAAACAATCCATGGAAATGTATATGTACTAATATTGAAAAGAATGAAGATGATATATGCCTATATTATTTGGAATGTATTCTGACTTAAGGGAGAAAAGGCTGCACTGGAGGTGGCGAGGTTGAGGTCCACTGTCCTTGATTAATAACTTATGTCCTTGTAAAAGTACAATACCTCCCCTAAGTAGAGGAGGATACTAAATTAGTTAATCTTTGAACTCTGCATGCTGATAGCTATTATCAAAACAATGAATTCTTTGTTCATGTGGGTCAATGAAATTGCTTGCAAGGCAATTTTTTGAAGTAGTAACTATTTAGTCTTAATCAGAGCAGGCCTATGATAATGTTAGTACAGTGGGCATCTTGTAATGGTAAAGGAGCTGGTCTAAGAAAATAATGATCCTCACAATGGGTGCTTGGTATTTAAATATAAACATTTGATCCCCTGCCACTACCAAGAAAAAAAAGGTCTCCACAAATGTGTTTGTTTTTTTTTTTTTGTATGATAACTTTGTAAAACATAAATATTTCTTCCACAAATGTTATAAATACAGTACTCAATGTTATGAAACAGTGTGATAAGTATATATTAGTAAATATCCAATGTATAGAGTTTCGTGCATTTTCTGCAATATTCAGGTGCAAGTAAAATTCGTGTTCTCATGGTGATGATTAAAACTTATTTTCAAAAGTTTTTTCTTTAAAATTTTGATTGGAAAGTAAAGAAAATATCAAGGGGGAGTAACTCTTACTATATTTTTGTCAAAAAAAAATATAAAATCACAGAAATAGTATTTGGGATGTCAATATAATGGTGCAAATAATAATGACAAAAAAATAGGTTGGTGTTATGTGTTTGAAACCAAGCCTTATACTTAGAAGATGAAATTATATATATATATATATATATATATATATATATATATATATATATACATACACATACATACGTTATAAATAAATCTAGTTCAGTAATATTGTATGTGTCTAGATATATAAGAAATGTTATTAGTGATGGGTTCTAAGAATATGAAAACTTGTTGCATATTATATTAATATTTGTAAAATCTATTTTGCAATTTCTTTTAATTGGTCTCAATGTGTTTTAGCATGTGCTTGGATTTATATATGCATGTAGATGTCCAGCAAGTTAGGGTTATTTAAATGTCTTAATATAAGAATTTTCTCCAACAAACATGTCACCCTTTCCATTGTATGGTTTCCAACTAATGGTTGGGTTCCTATGGTGTGGGTTTTTTTTTTTTTTTATCAGAAAACTTACTTTGAGCAATATTAAATACTTCACATCACTTTCAGTGTCATTTTGTGATGGTAAAAAACATGATTTTCAGCTGTTGTCAGTGGATTCAAAGTAATATCTAACATCATCTGAATCAATCCTAGCTCTGTATATTATGTCTTCAGTCATGCACTGGCTGTTTAATAGACAGGTTATGTTTTTATGGCTGCTGCATTGGCTTTAATTAATTATTTTTATCTTGAGATATGTAATTATCTGTGTTTTTGTATAGCTTACCTTAATGTTATCTTTTTTTAGTATTGGAGAATGACCAAAGTGTTAATTAAATTCAGGAAAATTTTACCTTCATTGGTTTTGACATTAGGGGTGTATGGCAGGTTGAACCATATATTTTCATTATATCACATTATGGTTGCTGTGTTCAATTGCTTTCGTTACATGTATTTTAATTGCACCTATAGTGTAGGTGTTAATAGCTGTTGTATTACATCAAGCATGGTTTTATTAAGTATATATTAATAAATATACATATATCCTCTATCACTAGGTAAAGTGTGTGTGCATAATGAATTTATTTTTAGCATCGTGTCTGTACAGTTTCATACAGGGACACTCCAGCAATTGCTGTGTATTCTTGTTAGGAAAATGAACAATCTCCTGTTTTTCATCACTTTTATATTGAGTTAAAAAAAAATACAATTTATGGGCTTTTTATTGGTGCAAGAATATTATTTTTAAGCCTGAATAAGCATGGATATTGAATTAATTTCTTGGATTTTATTACTTTTCCATTGGCTGCTTATTTGTGTGTGTGTATATATATATATATAAATAATTTTTTTTTTTTTTTTTGTAGCATGATACAACCGTATGTGCCTTATTAAGTGCAATGAAAGTGTTCAATAAACGATCACCTCCATATGCTGCCACTATTCTTACTGAACTGCATGAAAAAGCAAATGGAAGCTTTTTCATTCGTATTTACTATAAGAACACAACGCAAGATGTCAATGATTATATGACTCCTCCTACACAATTGATTGTACCAGGTAAGTGAAGATGGCTTGCTTAATAATGTTATATCCATGTTTGGGGGAATTGCTTAACAGACTTTATGAGTTTTTGAACATGCAAAAAGTGTTTTAATATTTATCAAGCTTAAATTCATGTGGATGACCTTTAAACATAGGCAAATAATGAAACAAGCAACCAGCCATTAAACAAAATGGGGGATTAGTGCCAGTCTGTTAGAGTGGTTAGCAATATTACTGTTCTAAACAAAAGAAACACCCACACAAATCCAATCTGAGGTTTATATGGCAACTGTATAAGCACATGATTAAGGATTTGTAAAAGACCATTACACACTAAAACCCACAATTATTTGTGACTGGTTCAGAACAGTTGTGTGTGTGTGTGTGTTTTTTTTTTTTTTTTTTCCTTGAGCACTATGCATGCTGATATTATCAAGAAGGTAAGATTTGAACTTGTTTGGAAAGTGAAGTTTCTGACCATTATAGCGATGAACCCATTACATTTAATATGAAATTAACTGTATTTTGTAGGTTGTGATGCTGATTGTCCTTTTGACAAATTTGTTCAATTGTTGCAAGAAACAATTCCTGTAAACTGGAAACGAAGAATGCCATGTATCAGCAAAGAAAATTGTACATTTCTCACGTAAGTGTTGTTTGACTCTTCAGGTCTCAGATAATGTATATGGTTAGGCAAATGGTTCACCATAAGTAAATATGCTAGAGGGTTGAGTTACTTATAATAATTTCCAACTCTCAACCCAGGATGGTTTTAAATCTTTATGAAACACTTTTTATAGATTTGTTTTATAAAAAATTAAGTGCTGTGAAACTGGAAAAAAAAATAAAACTAAGTAGCAGCTTGTATGTTATATAAAAAGTAATTTCTATGTTAACACCCTTTCTGTTTGTTGGAACTAATGGTAGTGTACACAACAGATAAAAGGAAAAAAACAAACGCATACTCTCTATGATAATCAAGTAAATATGTATGTATAGCTGACTACTTGTATTCAAGGATGGCTAGCCAATGCTTGCTCAGGTGCATTTATGTTTGTTCAACATCTACAGTCTCCCTGTGGTTTATACTATACTACAGTTTGTGGGAAAAGGACATGATGAAGAAGGCCAGCATGGCTATTGACACCACCCCCTGCAAGTGTTCCGTGAACCTGTGGTATGTTTCCAAAGGTGCCACACGCTGGGGTCAATAAGTCTGATAACATAAAGAACATGGTGAGGTTCAAACCGGGGTCTTGTGGTCAGAATGCAAGCGTTCTAATCACTTGACCAATGATAATTGAGTACTTATATGTAAATACCATAGGAAAAGGCAAGAATCCATGTTTATCTCTTGTAAGGAACTAACAAAATGTTGATACATTATTTGTAAAAATGATGTTCACCCTGTACAAAGGTAGACAGTTACAGAGTAAAAGAAGCTGGAATAATACAGGAACAATTTTGGAATTTTGTTGGTCTTTTCTACTCCACATGACCTTGTACCAACTGATTAGTTTTCCATTTCTGCAAAATGGTTTGATAGTAAAATTTTCGTATAATGAAAACAAGATTCAAGAGGTTATAAATGACAATAAACCATTGCAGATAATAAAACTGATAAGAAAAAAAAATTGTATTCAATAAGTACGTTTAATCATAAATAATTTAAAAGTTGAAAATATCTGTAGAACTTATGAATTGGACTGTATTGCTTTGTAGCTTGAACTGAAAACAAAAATAAATTTTTTTTTTTTTTTTTTTTTTTTTCTCCTTTCAGATAAAATATTGATTGTTTTGCTGTGTATAACTGGTTTGCTGGTTTTATTGATGTCAATCATGATTGGCTTATATATACGAAGACGAGAAGCGAGGAAATACGAAACAATTCTGGAAGAAGACTTCCAGTGAAGATAAACAATCTGATGATGATATGGAAAACTCTGTTCTTTCATTTCTCTAAACTCAGTATATATTTTTTTTTTATTATTTTAAAATATTCATCTCCAAATCGTGATATTGCTCAACCTCCTACATGAAATGTCATATATATTTAGGTTAACAAAAACAAAAAACACATACACTTTTGGTTGGGGTTGTAAAGAATTTATTCATTGCTTGGGGAGGGGGTAAGTAAGTAAGTAAGAAAGAAAAAAAAAAAATACCAAAGAACTTTTAATAATTAGCAAGTCTGTATGTATGCTCCCTGCCCACACAAAGAAAGCGTCCATAATGAACTGGAACTTAATCAATAATTGGATATAATGTGATAATTTCACAAAAGATGAAGGTTGACAAAGGATGTTTTTTGGGGTTATTATTATATTTTTTTTTTTTTTTTTTAACAGCTTCATTTTAAATTCCATATGAGATTGTTGGGGGGGGGGAATCACTCTTTAAATGCATTATTTTTCTTTCAGCTTTTGGAACAATATTTACAGTCAAAAAAGAGTGGAAATTTTATATTTTTTTAATGTATGTAAAAATTAAAATAATTGTTGACTGTATATTTTGAACATTAAATTGAAATTATATTCATTTTCTGTGATTATGATATTTAAAACTATTTATCTGAATAATTTATTTTGGGGTTGAGTGAAGGATTACTCCAATGAGAACGCTGCATTTCAATTCATTCCATTTCCCACCCAGATAAAGACTAAGCATCACACATCCTCTCCAAATTAATAATCATGACTTAAAAAAAAGTTAAGGGAGATCTCTCCCATGAATTCTAAAAAGTCATGTGACAATTAGCAGAAAACATACACTTGTGTAATAGCAACCTGGGAAAATTTGCAGGATGTCTTCTCCCATAATTCCAGCAATAAAATTTCTTACAATATATTGTCACACACAGAAACATGATTCTATTTGCTTAATAAATATAAAATTTACAAGGTTAATCAATTGGAATACCCTGTACATGGATTTACAAATCCAAGTTTCTGAACCTCTTTACACAACCATCCATTGCCGTTATCAAACTCTTGCTTCAGGTGGCTATCCAGCAACAAGCCAAGCTGTAAAATGTTGGCCTTTTAAAGTTTGAAAAAAAAAAACAAATAATAAAACTTCATATTATAACATCAATAATAATGATTGTAACCACTTCTGGCCTCACTAGGGAATGCTGAGAGCAATCCAGGAGGAGTTTGAATAAAATTGCTAAGCCTACTTCAACAGCCACTCTCATATAACTTATATTCACTGTTTTAGAATCTGCAAGCTCTTTATTTCTTTTCAAAGTGTGTATGTATGTGTGTGTATATATATATATATATCTCTCTCTCATTGTCTTTATCATCATAAAAGTGGGAAAAGCTTTTCATTTCACTTCATCTACTTTACCCAAGACAGACCTAAATTTACACTGTTTAATGTATCCTATGGTATCTTCATGTAGCTAATTAATGTGGGAGGTATTTCTAGTACACCCTGTATAATATTTAAAGTAATAAGCATTTTTATATATATATATATTTTTTTTTTATTTAGTTATTCCAACTATTTTTGACTATCACTACAGTCATTATCAAGAATTCTGTGTTTGGGTAAATCCAGTTTGCTGGAACCAATTTCAGTAAGAGATCGTGTGTGTAAAAAAAAAAAATTCCATTTGAGAGTTGTAAATAACATCATTTTAACTGAGTTTAAATTTATTCTAAAGAATACAGGAATTAGCCAAACACATTTTCATAAATAAACTAATTCTTGACAATGACTTTAAAGTTGTTTTTTGTAATCCAACAGAAAATGATTTAGTCAGAAATTGTAATAAATTAATAAAAATCAGACACTGGCACCTGCTCACATTGGAATTATCATCTTTACCACCACCAAGAGAGAATTTGATGAAGCCCTACACACTTAGACAGAAGTGGCTCAAAGAGAATAGAAACATGCAAAATCTGGCAAACCTACTTGTATCGGGCTGTCAAGGTCTGCTTTGATTATGCCAGCCTCACTGACACTGCTGCTTCTTTGGTTGCTGAGATTGTGTAGATCTTTGCCTATATTTAGGATGGTCCTACAGGAATTAGAACTTCACATGGCTTCATTCTTTGGATCTCTGGGACAGGTAAGTCCTCTACCATAAGGAACAACCATAGATATTTTACACTGGATATCAGAGTGAACACTTCGTTATAAATGTACCAATTTGACTTTAATGACAATAATAGAAACAAATCAATAAATTAGAAGAAAGTTAACTTAAAAAAAAAAATTTCATATTTAATGATAATTTTTATACTTTAACAATAATAAAAAATGTTCTCATAATACATTCCTACAATCGATCAAATAAAATTATGTTTGAATGATAGGGAAAGAAATCAATGATACTGAACCAATAGTCAGAGATTGTCACTTGAAATGCATTTCCTACAATTTTGAAAATTTGTCCACTTTTCTAAAAACGAAAAATTTTACACTGAAATGTAAATATAAAATTATTCATGCCAGTGTATAAAAAAAAAAATACATTATATTAAATGACCCTAATATAACAATTTCTAGTGATAATAAAATAAACTTGCTTATTTTATTCTTATAATATTTTACATGACTACACAAAAATTTCCATGTTCTGGACCTTTAAAATTGTCCCTCATCAGGCATTATTAGATACTGAATTGTTTTCTGATTTCACAAGTAAATCATTTTCATTAACTCATTTGATAGTTACAAAGGAGAGGGGGTAAAAGCAAAATTAAAAGAACACATTTGTGGGCATGTCTTGATTAACCAATTAAAAGCCAGATCAACACTAAAATCAAAAAGTAGGGGTAGGTGGGTTATCAATTCTTGGCTACATAAATTGACACATCCACCACATACGACATCCTGTTGCAAATATAAAATTTACATACTATGAAATATATATATATATATATATATATATATATTAGGTTGTCCCAAAAGTTCGTAAACACTTGCAAAAAAAATTGAAATTTTACTCGCCAAGTAATAACAAAAATTATTCCTCAAAATAAAGACCGTCATTTTCTAAGACTTTCTGCCATCGGTCGGCAAGCTTACGGATCTGGTGAAAGTACCATTCAGCCAGCTTCAAATCAAAGAATTCTTGACATGCTTCATCAAACGAGTCGAATCGACGGCCCTTCAGAAAGTATTGCATTGGGCGGAAAAGACCGTAATCTGATTGAGGACTGTAGGCTGGATATAGCAGAACCTCAACACCGTCCAGCTCTTCAAACTTGTCTTTGGTCTTCCTGGTGGTGTGTGGCTTGGCATTGTCCTGCTGCATCAAAGCGCGCTTTTAGTTGATCAGAGCCGGGTACTTTTGCTTTAACTTTTCGTAGACCCGCTCCAGTTGCTGACAGTAAAGTTCGGCACTGATGGCACGACCATTTGGAACCAACTCAAAATGCACGATTCCTTCAAAGTTCCACCAAATGCACAACATGACTTTCTTGCTGAATCGATCTTGTTTTGGAACCGACGGTGTCTCCTGACCTTTTTCAACCCATCGCTTGTTTCGATTGTGCTGGACCAGATAGACCCATTTCTCGTCTGATGTCACAACGCACTTCCAAAAACGCTCATCCAATGGATTGCTGAGCAATTGACGGCAAATTTCAACTTGTCTGTTGGCTTGTGCTTCGGTGAGTTCGTGCGGATCTTGGCGTGGCTTTTTGTGAACAAAATCAAGTTGCTTCAAGTGTCGGTGAATTGTCGATTTGCCAACTCCAACATAATATTTAGCATAAAGTTATTTTAAGGAATTTAAGATTTTTTTTTTTTTTTTTTTTTTTACTTCAGAACTTATTTAAAGGGGCCTCTAGTATAATTAAAACATTTTTATATATATTCTGAAACCAAAATACAATACTTATTATATTGAATAGGCAATATTAAAGTTGAAAAATCAAAGAATTAAATATTATGTGGACCATTATATATTGATAAAATAATGGATATGTAATTGTAAAGCATAGATTTTTTTTTTTTATGAAAATTTCTTTTAACTATATTAAAGCTTATATTCAAAATAAAACAAAACAATATATACATTGACTTATTTCATAAAAATAAACAAATATGTATTTCAATAATTAAATATTGTAAATGTAAAATACTATAACAAAATTATATTATAATAAACAAAGACAAATATAAAAATGGATAAATAGAATAAAGACATCCCTTTTAAAATATGATATCATCTTTGAGAAATGAAAAACATGTCTGTTTACTCTGACATCAGTGCTTAATTGGACAATCAGACTTTGTATTGTTCAACAAAACTTGCTTAAAAGAATTTAATTCATATATATCAGGTGTGTGTGATGGAGATAGTTTCACATCATTTATTGTTGAAGCTTCCTCTCTTAAATAAAACATTGAGAATAACCTTCCTCATTTCTGATTGGATCCTTTCTTGGTATCAGCAAAGACAGAGTGGTACTCATCTGAATGTAATGTAGCCATTTTCATCACTGGAAACGGTCTAGTGAGACTCATTCTGCAATCAGAGCTACTCACAACCATTGCAAAAGACCTCTAAACAATGATAAGTTCAAGTATGCACAGTCAATCCAAGCTAGAATTGATAACAAAAGATGTTCTCTTGAGTACTGGAGAATCACTAGCAAATTTCTTTTACTGAGGCAAATCATCTATACCTGTTATTATTAAATGGCCGTCATTACAATGAATGTTGCTTCAAATTCTACACAAGACAAACAAACCATTCCTTACCTGATATCCCACCTCTCATAATCTGCACTATATTCTACATAGAAAATTCTCTTATTCT